AATGTATAAATAACTTTCACCAAGTCATGTGTGTTCTTTATCAGACAGTTTCCAATTAATTAAAGTTCTGTTATTGTGAAAATGTAACTTTAAATATGAATCTTCACACCTGAGCTGTGAATTTTCACACAAGCCTCGGCTCATATTCACAAAGGGCTTTAAATCATTGCCATAAAATGTGCTGTTGAATAGAGCACATTTATTTTGGAAGAACAGAATCATCAAAACTTCCCTGAATACCTGCACATGGCAGTGAGCTAGTGGATCCATGCTCACCTCTTAATGCCCTGTCTTGACTTTGTAGGATCCTTAGGTCAAGGTGAGCGTCTGCATTGCAGGGGTCCATGTTTCAGCTCCACTAAGCATGCTGGGACGCCATGCGTGTTTTCACAGCAGTCAATATGAGCTCGCTGCTGCCCAGCCTGTTTCTTTATCTTCACAGGGAGACACCCTACAATCTATCCAGTTTATCAGCAAATCCAAATTAAACAAATCTCACCACAGCTTGCGCCTGTCCTCTGGCGTTTCGTTCATTAATTAGACGTCTAAAAATATCAAACCCCTCCAAGACTTAATTAACCCATCGACTCCATTTGGTAGCTGGTGCATGCCTGTCTTTGGAGGGGAGATGAATGACTTTTATCAGTGTGTGTGTTTTAAGTGTGAATTTGTGTCTGTCTGGGTGTGTATCTCTGTGTGCGTGTTTGTGTCTGTGCATGTTTTGAATAGAAGGCATCACATGAGCTTACGTATTCTTAATTCATGCATGTCTATGTCCTTTTCTGCATGGGTGTGTTTCTGTGCTGTGATTCTTGTTGTGTAGGTGCATCTTTTTGTGCTTCTTTTTTTGGTAATTTGCCGTAACCTTTTTTTTCATGATGTAACACCAGAGCCTTGCTGTGAAATTTGCTACAAGAGCTTTACAGACCTAGAGGACACACTGTAATCCCCATCAATCGTGCTAATGCCACAACATAGATGAAACATAAGAGTCAAAGGCTGCTTTGACCCAACATGCTCTGTGATTAACAAAGAGTGGGTTGAAATAAAGCCATAATTGATCAATTATTCAAGCTGTTTGGATTTGATGTGACACTTGTGAGAATAATAATCATGGGTGGGCGTGCATCGATGCCAAAGGTTAGTAAAATTAGTGTCACTGGGAAGTCATTTTTTCAGGATGTAAACAGATACCTTCAGTGCTGATGAGTTTTATATCTTATGAAAGTGACATGTCTGAATAGCTTCTGTTGAGAATTCCAGGTGGTTTCCATGCTTTTCCTGTACAAAACTGGTGGTTTTATTAGGGATAAGGATCAGTTTTTATTTCTTTATGAATAATAATCACATTTCAATTGTTATTTTACAATAGATGACATTTGCGTTAGAAAATGATTAGAGTCATGTGTCTGACGCATTAGTGACATTTGGATGCAGCCTATCTCCTCCTGACATTTGCCACAGTCAGCTGCTACCCAGTTCATTGTGAACCTGCGAGCAGTGAGTTAGTCACTCACTGGCAGAAGAAAGCAAAAAACACAGAATCAGTATTATCAGTAAAGTAACACATATATACATTATTTAGTCATTAATGAAGGTTGGGATGCTATTTTAAGTTCTTCTTGAGTGCAGCTCTGGTCCAGTAAAGCCAAAAAATTTAACTGAATGAAATCTAGAGCCGGGTGGATTGGCACTGCTCCGAGGTTGATCCGGCTGCCAGGATGTTAAAGTGACGGATGGATATGGCATCAGAGAAGCCTTCAACTTCCACATAGAATTTAATGATTACTGAGGATGTCATATTTTATGAGTGCAGATCATTAACCATGGAAATGCATGTCCAGCTAAAGCTTCTGACCATCGCACACAGTCAGCAGAGTGCAACAAGGCAAATCTAAAAAGGGAAATAGAAAACAGGAGAAGAGGAGCAAGAGAGGTTTGTGCTTGTAGTCTCTGTATGTGTGTGTTGTGTTGTATCATCTGCGTTTGTTTGCGAAGACCCTGACTCAGCTGCGACTGTTGTTATCACAGTAATTGAACTCTGTTGTACTGTTTAACTAAAGCGTGAGAGAGTGTGTGAGTCAGAGAAAAAGAAAGAGTGGTATTGTGTGTAATGAGCTTGTGAACAATCATCATCAGTTTATTACATGAGCGGGTGAAGTTAGCCCAACAGATTTTAATAAGCTACACCACCATCTCCAGTAAAAAAAAAAAAACCTATTAGGATCATATAATAACATTTCTACATGTTGTACAATGGCATGTACCATAATGGAGTCACATTTTTCTCTCATACCAAGACCATTCATAAAATAATTTTGCTCCCCACCTTTATTTACAAATTACTATTATACCAGTAACATGTTCTGCTTGAAATTGATTCCAATAATACAATTGTCTGTCTGGGCAAAGCATTCAAGACAATGTCAAAGTGCATTAACCTCGACTCAGTTCTGCCAGAGCACCACATTTGTGATGCTGTTTGTTCATTGTAAAATATTCACTCCATATGTAGTAAAGACAGGCAGCGAGTGCGAGTGAGACACCTTTTTCTCACTCTGAATGGGACAATGGTGATGCTGACGTCTGGATACTCAATTACCTGGTTTAACGAGTGGAAGAAAATTGCTCCATGTAAACTGCCTGGCTTGTTTTGATGGCAGTTTTCCACGTGCGATAGCTACGACAGAGTGAGCAAAAATAGCTCCTTTTCTCTGTTGTTAAGCTTTCTTTTGCCAATAATTATGCTCAGCCAAATTTAAAACAGCGTTTCAGTCAAGGTTTTCAGCAGTTTGTAACCTGGCCAAACTACAGAAACGCTCAAATACTGAGCAGCTGTGGAAGCTGTGACAAGGTTTTAATACGTGTTGACTCATTATGAAAATGGTCTTGTGTAACTCAATGGATGGAACAAACTGTGCCAGAGGTAGGGGGTTCAATTCAAGTGTCTATCCAATGGCCCATTGTTTTATCACTTGGAAATGTTATAACAGTGCTTTTTATGGTTTTAGTGTTTTAACATGGCTTCATTCAGATTTACCTGGTGTTCTAGGAGTAAAGAAAAATCTCAGTCATATATTCAAGATTGCACAGTCATTGTGCTCTTGCAACGCAGAGGAGGGAATATAATGTACTTTCAAGATGTACTATTATGACCTTTTACCCAAGGTCATGTTGGTATGAAGACACAGGCAACGCGCAAAAGAGTAATCTATCATACATAACAATATCCAAAGAAAAATTCCAAAAATGTTTATCTTAACAATAAATCGAAACTAAATATGAAAGGTGTCCCTTACAGGGACAAACTCACAGAGAATTACCCTCTGACTCTACAGTTCAGCTCTGTTGAGCTTAGTAGCATGTTTTAGCTTATTGTTTTGGTGACAAACAGCAGCTTTACTGTTTTGGTTCACACTCACCACTCTCATTGCATAATTTTCAGCCATAGCAGGCAGCTGTGTTTTGCTCTGAAAACCCACTCAACAGCAGATAGACAAGGTTAGTGACTAGCTTGTGAATATAGTGGAGTATTTAGCAGCTAAAAAGTGAGATATTTCTCTCAGGAATTGGTGGAGCCCAATCCACAGCTAAATAGAGAGTGAATATTGGATTACATTCATCAGGCGACCAGAAAACTCCAAACGAATGCCAGTGTTGCTTTGTTTCTGCTGGATGTGTCTGCAGTCTGCCATAACATCTTTATTTTATGACAATGTTGTGTTTACGGCTCCTTGTGTAGCCCATAGTGGCCAAAAATCTACTATTGCATTGACTCTTTACCCTTCCTATGCCACTCAGGTGCCTCAGGATGACTGGGGGGGTTACCCTGGTGATGGGAAGGATGATGAGATCCCTTGTCGTCGGATGCGAAGCAGCAGCTACGTTAAAGCCATGGGGGACGAGGAGAGTGGAGAATCGGACTCCAGCCCCAAGACATCGCCTCAGAAGTCTGTGCGGCCTGACGCCCTGGTAAAGGCCATAATCAGACCCAGGGACCTGCTGGACTCCCAGAGGTACGACACATGAAATGTAAAGATTTCAAAACATCATAGTGTTCTTCTTTTGTTGTTTCTTTTGTTTTCTCTTTTTATCTTGCATGTCCCAGCTTATGTATTCGCTTTACCTCTAGTATAGATGGTGGTGAGCAAACAATGTCCATCTTAAAAATTCTCAGTCTCATTTTGTCATTTTCTATCCCACACAAAATTTCTACAGTCTATGTATTGTTTTAGGCCCAATGATCTTGGTGTTAGATGGGTTTCCCCTGGGATCCCACCGATGGACATTTTTGATACTGTCACAGGGGGGTTCCAAACACAAAATGTTTCAAAATTTACATATAGAGGCTTTAAGCAAACCAATCTCCCAGTGGAGTTAGAAAACTCTATTGGTTTCTCATTTATTCTACTAGTTCCAGAAACTTTCTAGAAATATGCCCCAAAAATCCTAAAAAAACAATGTGATTTGATGGAAGGTAATTATGTTGTGTATTATGTTATTGACCCTATATTAGATTTTAAGAATACAACTTTTCTCAGCTTAGTACCATATCTAATGTTTTGAGCAATATCATACTTGTTATTTATTTTCTTTATTACATTCTCAGCAGTCAGTCAGCAGTGTTGGCAGTTTTCTTATGCGATTGCCCCACCACTACATCAGTGTCAAGCACTTGATAGTTGAACCCTGTACTCATTACTATCCCTTTATGGGTATTCATATCAGTGTCTTCAACTGTAAGAAAGTGTTCAGTGCGGTCTACTGGGACGTGTCCCATTAAATGGTGAGGAAATAGAAAGCTTTTGTTTTGGTAACTCAGCGGCGGAAGAAAACGCTCATAAGAGGATTACACGATGAGACAATCTGAAAACAATGTCACAGAAAAATAAACACACGCAACTATGTTATGGGGAGATACAAGGAGAGTTACTATGATTACAGCATTAACAAATCCATTAGATTAGGATGAAATTAGATTATAGAGTTCTTGCACCCAAAAAAGAATAATAAAATAAAGAGTAAACTCATCTGCAGTAATGCTATAACTGAGAAACCATTCAGCATCAGCTTTTTACCCCAAGGTATTTGCTGGTGATGTGCATCATTAACATAAATATTAAAATGATCTACGTGTCTTAATATGTATGTGAGCAAAGCCAATTATAGTAGAGTGAGATACAGTGATAATACACTGCAGGGGTTACTCTAAAGCTGTTGTAGGTCAGAGCTGCTTTTATTGTGTGTTGTATGTCCTGGTAGTTGTCTGTTTTATCTTTCTGCTCCACCTTCTGTTGCACCTTACATCCAGTCTCCATCTTTATTATATTCAATTTCAGAATGAAGCATGGTACTGCATAGACACCAACCACAAATACAAAAGATGTTCTTATCATCCGTCATTTATTGTTACTCAGAGGTTGTTAAAAAACCTACCTTTTCCATTATTTACAACAGTTTGGAGTGTTCATTTTTCCATTATGAGTTCATTAGTGAAACTATTCAAATGTTACTTATTGCCTTATTTTACTCCATATTGTGGTTTTAAATTGTATTGTTAGAGTACTTCAGATAACGAAGATTCATCTTTTCCAGAGTCATTTTTTAAAAGGTGGCTTTACGAGAAAGCAAATTCATCGTTGTTCTCCCTTCAAAGGGTCCTGTTCCTCTTTGTTCACAGCAGAATGTGAAAACAGTAATTACGGCCCAAATTCACAGTCTATTTTAATAATATGACCATTTTAAAAATATCCTAGACTAGCTCTTTCAAAACACAATGCTTTTATCTGCCTTTGCTCTGCTTCGTGAGCTGTGCATATTGAGTGCATTTACGATTCAGGTTTGAGTTCAGTCTGTAAGTCCCCATCAAAGGACTTTAGCACCTGGTTGTACCAGACATTCAGATGCAGTCTTTCCTTTTATTTTTCATTTATTTTTGAGAAAACTTACACTGTGCTCGAACAACTTCCGAGGCTCTGTTTCTGTTAATCAAAGGTGTGGGCCAAAACTTCAGCAAGGCTAGAGACAACTTATTTCTGGTAATTGTGTGACCAGGGTCATCCAGAGGCTACTGTGGTGCTGTTTGCAATCAAGTGTGGTTTAAGAGAAAAATGCTTTTAGAATTTGTTGTTGACCTCCCTTCATTCATCACCTGTTTTCTGTCCTGTCAATTGAAATCACTTTGATGATGAAAGAAAATATTCTGGTACCACAAATCTTTCACCAAAGACTGAAACTGATTATGTGGAAGGTGCCTTAGCTGTCCTGTGTTAAGAAGTGCTTAGACATCCTTGTTCGTCAGATATTGAATATCTCTGTTATAAATGTTAAGTAAATATTTTGGTTACAGATAGAGAAAGAAAAAAAAGTAATTCATGAAATTGTGAAAATTGGGACCAAATAATAAAGGAGAAAAATACTGGTTCTGTAGGGGTATAATTGCCATAATTGTTTATATAAAGACAACGTTTGTAGAGCTCAGGCTTTGAATGCTGTTGCTCAATCTGTTGGAGCACAATGTGAGTATATCCTACTTCATTTCTCCTTCATGCTGTGTGTTTCACTCACAGAGGTTTGCTGGACTGTGTAGAAACTCTTCTCTCTTCACAGGCCTGCTGCAACTTCTGCATAAATCACAGTGTGTCTGTTCTGCTTCTAGTATGCACAAGCCTAAAGGCAAATCATCTGACATAAATTGTAGACATTATGCAAATACGACCTTGTGTCTGACCTTAGTGTAGAGTGTGGCCTGTAACAGACACATAGCTGCTGTATGTAACGTCAGACAATCACAGTTAGAGACTAATATATATACTAACACCAATGACTATTGTCATATTCTCGCACCTCACTCTTTACACCATCGACCCCATGCTCATTGCCATTCAGCACAGGTTTTTAAATTGCTACTCTCTCGTACAGAACAGCTTTTTCCCTGGAAGCTCGGAAACCGCAGCAGGCAACACCCACAGAATCCACTAATACGCATCGCAACTGTTAAGCTGACCCTGATGAAAACACGTACGTGCATATACAGAAACAGAATTGATGCCCATTTCTGGCAGTGTTTGTGTCATCTCGCTGCAGGGTGAAAGGAAAAGGAGGAAGGGCAGCAGATATATTTTACAGTTATGGGCTGCAAGTAGCACCTGTGTGTGCTTGCATTATAAGCCAGACATTCAACCAGAGGATATATAATGACAGACTGAATGTTATTGATTGTGATTAAGCACGGTCAAAATGATATCTGTCATAGACGATGCAGTCATTTGGCTTTTTTAACAGATCTCTCAGAGTATGAGGTAATGAGGTAAGTAATGTATGAGGCAGCTACAGTGAGGTATGCTCCTTTTTCCACATTTTGCAAAGCTTCCCCTGACTATCCATTTTGAATAGCTGTAAACAGTGAATGATTTATGAGGATGCTACAGCAGGAAGGGCTATCAGTTGCAGTTATTGTACTCCAAGGCCCCTCTGACTAATGGCTCTCTCAGTGGTTAGACCGAGAGTCTGCTGGGCTCTGCTGAAAGGAAGATATTGACCAGCATGGATCAGGCTGTGTGGCCACTGACTGCAGCAGCAGCATTGTTGGTATTTAGGTTGTCATTACTGAAGAGTCCTTATACTCCCCTGGACCCACTCTAAGAATGTCATAATGTGTGTCTTTTCTTCTTGGATTTAAGTGGAGATGTATCAGTTTCTCTGAAATATCCCGTTTTTACTCATCACGACACTGTGAGACTGGTTTGGTGCAGATCAATAACTCAGCCGAGTCCATATATCGGCGATTATTAGCTTGATGCAGATATATATTGCTATTGGCGTAAATGTTGGCCAATGAATAACAAGATATACCAAATAATACCAAAGGGACAGGAAACCAAATGATGGTGAGACCAGATTATGTGGGAAAAGGGGAAGTACTCATTTGGACAAAGATATTCTTGACTTTTTATAGACCTCAAGAGGATTTTTTATTTGGACACACAGTTTATATAAAAGTGCAGTGCAATTTTAAAGGGCCAGTGTAGGATTCAGTGGCATCTAGTAGTAAAGTTGCAGATTGCAACCATTTGAATACTGTTCCAAGTGTCTAGGAGAAACTACGGTGGCTGCAAAACCTACGAAAAAACCCTATCTAGAGGCAGTGTTTGTTCTGTGCTACTGTAGAAACATGGGAGTTCAACATGGCTTCCACAGAAAAGGACCCACTCCCTCTATAGATAAAAACAACTCATTCTAAGGTAAAGACACACAATTCTTTTTTTTTAGGTGATTATGCACAAACATATCTATGAATATTATATTCAGTTTCTGCCAATAGATCCTCTTAAATATTACAGACTGGACCTTTATGTGTATTATATGTATTATATATACAATTATTATATTATTGATTGTCTGCAGAGGAACTGAAGCTCTAATCATTTGTTCAGAATAAGGTTAGCACCATCTTCCTGTGATCTATATCTGTTACTGCTTTAAGTCCGCACATAATAGCTACCACGGATGCAAGTGCCACCTGACATGAGAAGTCTCATGCTATTATGGTTCATTGGGCTTGTTGGGATGGAATTAGATTGGATTCAAGACAGACATGGCGTAGGTTGGATTTCCTCTGCTCTTGTAGCAATTTGCTGTCCCACAGGGGCATTCAGATGGGCCAAACACAAATTTGACAGCAGTGGCTCCCTGAAGCAAATCATGTTAAAGTGAGAACAGGTTGTCAGGTTGTGTCACCTCCCTCCGTCTTTCCCTCTTTCAAGCTCTCTGTCGCTCTCGTGGTTGACAGGATTGCCTCTTTTTCATCTCACCAATAAAGAACACATCACAGTCATGGGCCCACTGAGCTGGAACAGCCTGTTCACTAGAAAGAAAGTTAGATGTCATTGATTATTTTAATTAATAATTATTTACCCCTCCCCAACCACCCTTGCATTACAACGTCATCCTCGGGTCCTGAATGTCCTGTAAGCTGCAGAGCAGACAGCTATGATAAACTGAATGTGAATCAGCTTTTTTCCGACAGTTGGACCTGCCAAAGATGTTTAAGGAATGTATTAATGATAATGGGAACTGAATGACATGTGGCAAATTTCACTGTTATCTATTAGCATAATGAGTCACTGAGTCAATCAGTGATGATATGTCACATCTGATAGCAGGTTGCACTGGCACACATGCACACACATGCACAGAAGAACATCAATAATTAACCTCCATCTCCGGCAAGTTAACTTGTTTTTAAACGATTGTGGCCCAGTAAACATCACAAGCCAATCAATCCCATCTATTTTTGGCAGTTTATAAAATAACTCACATTTGTTTGCCTACCATCCATGATTAGCTTCTTGAGGCAGCATAATTAATCAAAGTTAACACTGTCAAAGCATTCAATAATTCCTGATTCAACATAATTTAATTACTCATTCAGATAGCATCTGGTATGAGATTCCCATCTCAAGGTCAAAGCAGAATTCCAATCCATTGATTTGTGGCTGTGTGGGACATGTTATGCATAGTTTCTGTTGGCAAATTCTCAACACTTTTTTGTCTCCACTATAAATGTATAATGCTCTTGATCTTTTTGGACTTGGGTCAAATAGAACATACAATATACTTGAATAGAAAAAGTTTTGTGTTTTACAAGACAAAAAGTGTATGCTGTGGATACACTGATTGTGAGTTTATTAAACACAATTCATTTATTCCCTTCTTCAGGGTTTCCTTCCTTTTTCTCTCCTCCACCCCATTGTGAACCATTGGGAAGATTACATTGTTCTCCAAAGGACTTTACAGTGCCTTTTGTGTGTCAAAAAAGACACCTATTTGCTGATTTCCACATTATGGACTAGCAGACACATTTCACAAGTCTCAGTGTTGCCTCATTCCCATTGCTCTCAAGTTGTTAGTATGTTAACCCTTCTTGCAAAGTCTTCTATCCTGCAACAATCTTCATGCTTCAAAATGTCCTTTGTCCTTGTTCCTTGTTCCCATTATATGCACTGTTCAATCAAATGCCTTACTTTGGACCTTTCTTCTCAGAAATTAGCACACAACCGCTATTGTCGAAGCTGAGCTTCTTTTAACCACAGAAAGAGTACTTTCACGGGCAGCGTGAAAGGCAGGAAGTGTGAGATTCCCATCTTCCCTTGCCTTTATATTTGCCAACAATGGAAGTGCATTAGCACCAATCAGAGACATTAGAGGAAATTTGCTCTGGCATGATTTGATTAAGGGCTAACGCATTCTCAAAACAGACTCCCTTCACTCAAATGACAGGCAGGGATGGATGTAGTATGCCTCAGTATTGCCTCAGCCAGTGCACTTATGCACAATATCTGACCTTGTCAGCTAAAAAGCTAAAAGGTTTTATTACTCAGGGAATGATGTTAGGTAGGTTTTTAATTCTCATTTGGTTCAATTAACCAAATCTGAACCAAATGTGTTTTTTATGATGTAGTCTAATTGTTTTTTGTGTGTGGCATTTCGTAAGTGCTTTGTTATCATTTTGTTAGTGCTGGTGGACTGTGTGTGTGTGTGTGTGTGTGTGTGTGTGCACCTACTGTACAACAAAAATCATAACACACTCCTCATTATGTCGTTTAATTTTTAAGTTATTGCCTTGACCAGGCAATTCTGTCTGCCAACTAAATGTATCTGTAACATTCTCCCACTTTCATCATTACTTGAGGGCCATCTTGGTCATACTGTATCACCCTAATGTTTGCAGCATTTTGGTGAAAACTCCCAAGCAAACATTCAGTCCACCACAAAATGCCATACAGAGCCTGTTCCATTGGACTGGAACAGCCCAGTGACGTCACACCCATCCAACTCCCACTTGTGGGACCCAGTAACTCTGTTTTCTTCTCTACCCACAGCTCTTACCGCCTGGATAAAATCAACAGTGACATGCGTAACTACATCACCAATTTTGCTGCAGACTTAAGGTGAATACAGGCTCAGTGCCTCCCCTCCCCTTACCTCTCTGTTGCTGCCATGTTGCAGTGGTCAGACGTCGGAGCCAGCTGGCTCGCCGCCCTGCTGACATACCCAATATGGATGCCCCACAGAGCAAACACTCAAGACCAGTCAATGAAAGGTCACCTGGGGCAATCTGCTCATACTGGCAAAGCATAAGGCGCTGTTAAACACAATATAGATGTGATATGATTCACTGCTATACATTACACCAGCAAAGTAGTAAATGCTTAGTTATGCTAGTTAGTCTGAGAGATTAATCACATTAATTAAGTCAGTTAAGAGATAGTACTTCCTCCCATTTCCAGCTTCTTTACTTTTACCACTTCATTCAGACTTAATCTCTGGATGTTTCTGCTCTAGAATGTCTTTGGATGTTTAGAAGGTTGATATTATTTTGCAAATACACACAGCTTTGCGACAGCACGACAAGATGGATTGGGGGACTTTTAATCACACTGGCATTTTCCTCGCTGCCAAACACCAGCGTTTATCTCTATAAAAAGCACTGAAACTGCTTACTCATCCCTGCCTGTCATTAGAAATAGATCTGGCGGTGGGAACCTCACTTTGGTATTCCTAATGTGACTCCCATAGTATTCTTATTTTACTTAAAGCACCTTTCTTCTTCTATGTTTTTCTATTAGTCTTCTCTCCTGCAGACTTGGGTTTCTGAACATCTCTCCTGCACTGCTGTGGTAGCACATTTAATTGACCTACCTGACACCGGGGGGCTCTCTGAAGTGCTTGCTCACTAACTAGCTCCTGATTTGCATTTCCCTCATTTCCAAGCATTGATTGGATGTTTCAGCACAACAGAAATCGAACTGCCTTTTTGAGGACACTGGTGAACACATCAGTGTAGTGGGGGGAGAAGAGAGAGGCTCCCCTCTTGGGAGACACAGTGTCATAACCAGTCTCGCTCTCAAGTTCAAGCTACCCAGAGGAGGCCCGCTGCCCTTAATAACACATAATTGTTTTTGTCATCATGTTACACCTGTAGCCACTAGACAAAGTGCTTGTTTATTAGTTAAATTATATTTAATTGACTTGCTTAAGAAATCATCACCATGGCTGTAGTCCCACTCCCTGCCTGCTTCTCCTTTTCTCTCTCTGTTCAGTCAGAGCTACCACTTGCAAGCCACCAGGGACATGCACCCGAGCATTGCCCTGGATCCCTCTGCCAACTACAACTCTCCCAAGTTTCGCTCCAGGAACCAGAGCTATATGCGGGCCGTCAGCACCCTCAGTCAGGCTAGCTGTGTTAGCCAAGTGAGCCAGGTGAGTCAATTAGGAAAGGTTTTTAAATCCTACCTTTTACTGAAGAGCAGTAGTTCTTACACCAGGGGCTGCAGAGGGACCCCAAGGAGGTACCAGGGAGTCCCCAGCTAAATTATACAGAATCATTTTACCACAAGTTTCTTAGTTAAAGAGTGTCCAAATTATAGTTTTTACTCTGGCTGTGACTTTACCATTTAGATGTTACTTTTTTCTGTCTTCATTTTACTTTCTCTTATTTTACATGACAGTTCATTGCACATTGTTTATCTGGATAAATTCTCCAACTCCAACTGGGCATATTGGAGGCATATTGATTTGTTCAGAGTCTTAAAAGCTCAACTAAACTCCTACTAATTCCAAATCCCAGTAGAACAAGATGTTTATCTTTGATTCTTGATAATGCCAAATAGGAGTTTTCCAATTTCTACTCAGTAAACAACCATTTGTAACAAGTCAGTATTAAAGACATAAAAGATACATCATACATAGCTGAAACAGGGAGTGGAAATAGTTCAACGACAAATCTTTCACAGAAAACCTTGATTTAATGAAAATTAACATGTTGTTGTATTCACACAAAACAAAACCTACTGCAGCAAAAGGAACCAGTCAATGACTATCAACTAGTGTGGAAATATGACAGAACAATTTCCAGGCAACGCTCAAAAAATACAAAAACATTTTGTGACATAAAAACACAGTTTTTATCTCTCTGCTGTGTTTTGCCTTTTAAAACATATGCAGTAATTTAAATCAAACCTAATTTTTACTAAGGGAAAGGAGAGAGACCACAATGTCTTGTTTTACAATCAACCAATTAATTTGTCCAGGTGAACAAAGAAATATCTTCACAATGGAGAAACCATGCTTTCGGCTTTTGTTTCCCACAGGTGAGTGAAACAGAAATAAATGGCCAGTTTGAATCAGTGTGCGAGTCAGTATTCAGTGAGGTGGAATCTCAGGCCATGGAGGCCTTGGACCTGCCTGGCTGCTTCAGAACCCGAAGTCACAGCTACCTGCGAGCCATCCAGGCTGGCTACTCTCAAGATGATGACTGCATTCCCCCGATGGCCTCCACTGTCACCTCCACCATCAGGTCTACCACAGGTAGGGGCATTTGCAATTTGCACAATGCAATGTGTGACATCCTGGATGTTAGTATTTTTGTTTGTACTTACAAATTGACACCAAACGCTTACATTTGGCATTAACATGTGTTAATGGATGAATATAGAACAGTTAGTGCAATCTGGTTGTACTGTCAAACAGCTTCATATCTTTGCATGAATCACTCTTGTATGTTTCCATTGTTTTTGATGGACGTATGATTACTGTAGCTACCACTTGTGAGCTGTGCTAGTTCATCCTACTGTATTTTGGATACAGTGCTTCATCTGCTCATCCATTGGATGCATCAGAGAGTAAAGCTATGAACCCTATTGAAAATCACAAATGGATATTATCTGAAATAAGAATCAGGTCAGAATAAGGACATGACTGCTTTGTCCACTACATTTTGAAAATCTGACTTTCTTTATGATGACACATGGTGACACTTGTGAACACACTCACACCTTTATTACAAACTGGGCAAAGAAATGGTGAAATTGCCATATGCTAAATATGCAACTTCTTAACCCAGTTTACACTTAAATATCACAGCATATACTTGAAATGTCTTCGCTCACAGATTGTTCTCGTTACACAAACTATTTTGTCTTTTTGCAGAGCTCATGTTTACATACAATTAGATCACATTACAGAATTGTAGACTATTGTGTCTAGACCTGGATAATCAATAATGTAACCTGAGCTGTCACACTGTTTAGTCACATAAATCACATATGCAAACTTGTTACAATAAATCTAAACCCTACTCAGCTGACATGCATTTATTTCTGATACTGAGCCTTGATTATAAATTGTAAGCTGCTGGTGGTTTCAACAATTCCCATGATTGCTGGATTCACAGAGGAAATGATATACACTTGTACAGATGAAGAATGTGGGAAGAAAAGAAGAAAAAGTGTCCGGAAGAGAAGTCTGAGTGGATTCCGTCTCTTCCCACAGTAGATTCATGAACACCATCAGTTGGACTTTAATAGGGAGGGTTAGAGGTGTGGCCATCTGGAGATGTGCTTATGATCAATTCTTCATACCTATAAATGTCTGCTTACACTGCTTTCTCTGTAAACTCAAATATCTTTGTATTTGTAGAATACAGAGTTTGGTATGTCATGGATTTTGACACTATTTTGGACATGGGGCAATTGGTGCTTCGAATCAATCTGTCAAACTGGACCTCACATTTTCAATAGGGTTCATACTATACTTCCTGATTGATGGGAAATGGTTTGGAAGCTTTGCTCATCTTTGCCTCTTTTCATTGCACAAAGTACACATTTCTTTACCTCAACTGAAAGCAGAAGAGCATGCAAGGATTGTTCTTACACCTCATTTATTAGAAATATTGTCCATTCTCTGTGATGTGTTCCAGTAGATAGGAGTTTCAGCTTTGTGCATTGAAAAGATGTGAAGAATGCATGCTACAAATTAAGGTTGAGAAGGCAGTGTAAACCATTAACGGGAAATGAGTCAAAATGGGAGTACTTTCCCAGTGTTACACTGGTTTTCAACACTGTAATGTATAATTAAATTGCTGATTATTAAAATCCTAGAATAAAAATTCCTCAGTACACATCTATGGTATACAGATGGGTGAATTGGGGCAATAATCATAAGGATAGCAGTTAGTTGTTTTAGATTTTCTGCTATTATCTTATTTTGACTCATGGCATTCAGTGCATGATTTGATGTTACTGCTTTGTGGCAATAAAAAGCACATTCTCTCCAGCTGCTCACACCTGTGGCCATAATACAGATACATATTTACATTTGTCTTCCAGACAGAAATTATGTGCAGGAAGATTCTTGTTTACCCGACCAGGCCAGTGTACATGAGGATTTGGCAGACACGGCCCCTTTGGCTCATGATGATCTAGGCTGCCCCATCAGAAGAGACAGGCTTTACCAGCAAGATAACATGGGGGCTACAGCCAAACCTCTGTCTGGACCGCCTGTGTCTCCAAGCCTCTTCAGATCCCCCAGATCTAGTGCCCCAGAAAGGCCATCACCAAAAGCCATCCAGGCCAGTATCAAAGAGTCGGCTACCTTGGCTGCAGCTATCAGCATGCAATGGAAGGAAGAGGTCTCTGCCATGCGTCGAGAACTAGCTGATTTAAGGAGGGACCTCTGCAAAGAGCTTCGGGCTTTCAACAGTAATTTCAACACTTTCACGCAGCATTACAATACATGGTCTCCCCAAGCTGGCAACATGGCTGCTGGAGCTGATGTAAGTTTAAGCGGAGGTGTTGGGGCAGGGACAGGGACAGGAACAAGGTCAGGGGCAGGGGTAGGAGCAAGCGGACTTGGAACCTCTACAACAGATAGAGGCACTGGTGGAGCTAGGGAGAAGAAACCCCAGGTATCAAAAGTGTCTGTGGGGACCCAGGCCAGAAGCAAGGTCCTGGTCCGCCAAAGCACTGCAGATGCAGCTGTCAATTGCCCAGAAGAGAAGGAGGAAATGAAAGGTGCACGCCGTAATCTGCCAAAACAGCTCTCTATGGACCCGAGCATTCTTGCCTGTCCACAGTCAATGTATGTAGAGAGTGCCATACCACTTTCTTTGGATCCAATACTTCCAGGCTCTGTTAGAGCAGTCGAACCAGGGCTTTTTGACTTGACTGCTGTGCCCTCTAGAGCTAACCCAGAACCAGAGCTACCAGACCATGCAATTGTGAGTTCATCTGACATGGTCACTAATGAACCAGTCAGTATTCATGATAAAGTACCAGTTTCCTCAGAAGAAGCCTCTGAGAGCCTTCAGGATTCAGTGACAGAACGAGAAATGCTAATCACTCCACAGCTAATAAATATAGACCCAGCTAATGAGTCCCATTCAGATACTGAACCATCTCACCCTGATGACATGAAATCCCCAGACTCAGAAATAATTGAAAGAGATAAGATACAGCTACCATATCCAGTTCCTGTAGTTACTGTGTCTCCACCAGAGGAACCTGATTATGACATCATGTCAGATTCAGAGTCTACGGATCCTGTCATTGTGGACAAGCCAGATCTAGTGTCTCAAGACCCTCCTACTGTGACTGTACCATATTCAGGATTAGATTCAGAAGATCCAGATCCTGAAGACCCACCAGAATTAGAGCCAAAACCATCAGATTTACCCATGGTGTCCTCATCTGACCCTATTAGTCAAGGCCCATTATCAGTCTGTGATGCGCCTACATCAGATCTTGATACTGTTACACAATGTAATTTAGAGCCTGACATCATATGTCCCTCTATTGTGGTGTCAGAGTACCTTGACACAGACTCTCCTGCAAGTCCAACTGACAGTGACACAAATCCAGATCCCATTATCACCCTTCCAGATTATCCTTCTGACCCTCCCCCAGAGCAAATGACATCAGTCACAACCTTTGCTTCTAGTTCAGTAGAAACTCAACTCAACACTGAACCAGACTCCCAAGACCCAGAGTGGCCACCCCTTCCAGAACCACTTGATACTACACCTATATATCACGCCGATCTGGTCCACTTTGACTTAGTCATGCTGACTTCTCTAGATCAAGATGATCTTGACTCAGTGTTCATGGACCCCGAGCCAGAGCCCTTTGACCTGAGTGTTGACTCTCCATCTAATACAGAGGATTTACATTCACCCACATACCAATCAGACTGTCCAAGTTCTCACCTCCCAGCTGTTGACCCTGCCACGCTGTATCCCTTGGATTCATCACAGTCAACAGAATCTGTCTGTTTGGATTCAGCGATGGATTATCGCTTAGCTCACATGCCTGAAGATGTAGCCTTAAAAGTACATCAAGTCCCACTACCACAGGTCACTGTCACAATATCCCCTCCTAGTTCAGTATCTCCTGATACGTCACTAGAGATGGACTTTGGACCCACAAGTCCAGCCCCAGATCCTCTTCCACCAGATACAAATCCATCACCACCAGATCTCGAAGATGTGTCCTCAGTGGATCTGGCACACGTGGAGCCAGATGATATAATTGTAGAAACACTGGAGTGTATGGCTGTATCACAGGAGTATGGGGAACTTGTGGAAGAGAACCCAGGCAGTCTGGATAGGTCTTCAAGTCAGCAGGCCTTTTTGTGGTGCAGGTGGCAGAGGAGGGCCCAGAGACGTGAATCAATGCACAGGAGTGCCAGTGTGGAACTCTGGAGTGGGAGATACGAGTACAACAGTGCAGAAATCACATACGTTTCTCTCACTCTGTGAGCTCATACCTCATTGTCAGCAGACGAAATGTAGCTCAAAGTATATTTATAGTTCATGGTTTGTAGCTGCCAATGCACTGTAGAGCAACGTGCAGATCTAAATGTCATGTGATCATTGGCATTCAAAGCAAGAACTTCCTCATACACAACCCTGCAGTAATATTCCAGGAAAAAAGACTGCATTGATGGCAGCAAAAGAAACATATATCAAGGATTGCACAATACTGCAAGAATACGATGAACCCCCAGTGGTGACAAATTTACTGAACAGTCATGCTTCAAAAATATTTACTATTTACAGTACAAACTTTTCTGAAGCCGTTGTCACCACTGATGTGAATTATCTTCCAGGACAAAACTGCTTATTCAGTGTACCCTATTTAATCATTGGATACACTAGTAATGACTGTTCTTGTTTAGTCACTGTATTACATCAAGATATGGCGACACACATAGACTCTTTTGGAGCTCTGTTATAGACTACAGACAAGATGGCCTAAAGTATACAAGGTCCTGGCAATCCTTGCAGTGATGACTTTCCTTTCCTTGACTTATTTTGAGCTCTCTTTATTGTCACTCTAGAGTGGAGTGAAGTAAATCTTCCCAGTTATCATATAACTATAAGGACATACTGTTTACTATGTGAGCTGTTGGATGGACTGCAGTTATAAAGCAAAAGGACATGATGCTGTGGAAGGATGTTTGCACAATATTAGATGGAGCTGGAGTACTATACTGTTAATTTGTTGGGAATAATAACTCACATCATTCACACT